CGGGTGCTCTGCGGGGAAAACAAACATCGTAAACTGGCAGAGTGAAGAGAGTCACTCGGGCAGGCTGTATTACAGGACGGAGGATGGAGTTGACTGTTATTTTTCGTTTGATTATTTCGATCGCGAGTGGTACATATGCGGGCCGCAGTCTTCTTTGAAATAACATAATCCCCGCACTTATTTAGGGTGCCTATTCTAGCTCTTTCCTCCGCAAAGAGTTAGCAGCGCTGTGGCCAAATAGACTCGATTAGATATCTCAGACCGCTGCTGAACTCCCCTATGGGTTACAATTATATTTAGTGAAGAGAGGCCCAAGGTAGCCTGGGCCGCCTACGAAATCCTATGTTGCCCTCTCTGTAAGAGTTGTTAAAGTGAGAGGGAGGGAAAGGGGGGGCAGAATCACCGGATGTGGGGACATACACAAAAACCGATGCTCTCATCTGCTCTAGACCGCCGGATGAGGCGGTTATGAGGGTGTGGCCGCTAGGCACAGCCTAGCCTATATTTAACAGAAACCCGCAGTGCGGATCATTCTCCAACAATTTCAGAAATCCATTTATTAAAGGCGCACAAAATACCCGTCCTCTAATATGTGTGACTGGCCAACTACTTGCTGAATCTGGCTATAAATTAAACTAATTTCATGTTGTATTCGTAATGAGTTGTGTGCATAGGATCGGATGTTTCGGCCTAGACATTATTCGCCGAGATCATCGGACAGTCAGTCACTTCTTCCAGAAAAGCTTTAAATTGTAATGGATTAAAGGACAGATATCTAAGGGAAGACTATAGTTCTGCAGTTCACTGAGTATCGTCAGAATTTCTTTCTTCAGTGTTCGTATTAGGATGAATATAAGGTATCTTTCATTGGTAGGTCGATGCACCGTCTTTCTCCTTTTTATTGGCATCTGCTTACAGTCCCGTTAAACAAAGAACAAGAGAAAAATAACGCTTAACATAATTTTTCAGGCTTCAAAATCTGAAACTTCCAGGTATTGGGCTGATCGGGTACTGGCGAATGCGGATTTTTGTTTAATGATATCAGTGCTAAAAATATAGGTAAAAATTTTCCAAGGCTTTTAACAGGTCTTAACTTTAGAAGAAAACGA